GCCCTGCCCTCTCACGGGGCTGCGGGCACTGCCCTGTCCTCTCATGGGGCCCTGGACACTGCCCTGTCTCCTCATGGGGCCCTGGACACTGTCCTGTCCCCTCACAGGGCCCTGGGCACAGCCCTGTCCCCTTCACACAACTTCAGCCACATCCAGCCAAATTTTGTGCTACCTCTGCCTGAATCCCTCACACCTTGAGATGGAAAAGGTGCCCAGAACCTTTCCAGCAGGGAAATTTCTCCTTTTGCCCCTCTGTCCTTGCTCAGGGCAAAGTTGCCCAGAACCTTTCCAGCAGGGAGGATTCTCCCTTTGCTCCTCTGTCCTTGCTCCTCTCATCAAATCTGGGCTCAGTTTTGGCACAGCTCTCCTTAGCCAGGGCAGAACTTCCCCTGGTGGCACTGAGATGGGTCAGGACACACCTTCAGTGGTTTGAAACTGTTTGGTATGTGACAGGGGCAACAATTAAAATTAAACCCTGCTCTGGATAGCTCACAGCTTTCCCAGGGATTTTGCCCTGTCTATACCAGCACAAGGCTGTACCCGTTGAGCTGCACCCACCAGAAGGGAGTGATGCTGTTTTAATTAGCAGAGTGATGCTGTTTAATTAGTCAGAGTTCCCAGCTATCATGTACCAACAGGCCATGTGTAACTGAGAGCTCCACAACCCTGTCCTCCTACCACCAAGAGCCAATTTCATGTTTGGTGCAAGATCTGCTTAGAGAAAATTTGTTCATAAATCTAGGAAATAAGCACAGGCTATAAAAATAATGAAATCCCTATTACAGCAGCAATTCCAGTGGTACCTCAGGCTGTTAGCTACCAAAATAGTCGTTAACCAAAAGGAAGGAATTTTATTTTTTTTTAATATATATACATCTCCAACTCAATTACTGCTCAGGGCTTCGACTATTTGCTGATACATTCAAGGGTAACATTTAAATTCCAGCCTTCTTTTCATTGCTGTACTTGTTTTCAAAACTCAATGCTTTTAAGAGCCTGTATTGTGCTCTCTGTGTTCTGAGAATATTCAGAGCCTGAGGGTTCCTGCTGCTTTTTAGTGGCTTTGTGAGCTCTTCCCCCTCACTGTTGCTGTGAGCTCGGTGCTTCAGCTCAGAGAGGTTTTACAGAGAGCACTGAACACCAGGCAAGTCCCTTTCTCAGCAAACCAAACCTCTTGCAGATGTTGGTGGCATTCCCAGAAAACCACACATGCAAGGATTTTCCAGTGTGACTCTTTGAGGAGCACGGTCTGGGATGGTTTAACAGGAGCCTGTCCTGCATTTCTGCCTCCCCTTGGATGGCTCCCCATGGAACTCCCCAAAATGGGGCTGCTGCCCTCGCTAGGGCTCCTCAAAATCCTGAACTGAGAGATCAGCCTGAAGTTCTCTATTAAAATCATGGCAGATAAAAGAATAAAAATGGTATTTGATACCTGCTGTAGACTCCAGAAGGAAAAAAGCAGGGTCAGGAGAGGTCAAGTATATAATCCTCTTGCTGGCTCCTCTGTGCAACTCAGGCCACAGAAATCCATCCAATTACTGCTCTAAGCCCAACAATTTGTGGCTAAATTGGACCATTCCTTTTCAACAGACTTGTTGCCTCAAATTAAGGGTGCAAGTTAATGGGCTATCTATCATGGCTTTCAGCAAGCCATAACAATGCTGAGGAGTTGTGGTGTGGCCATGGTTAATTATAATTTCTGGCCAAAATTTACATCTTCTGCTTTGATTCCCTCCTATGTTTCAACCACTGGCTGCTGAATCCTGTTAGAGCCTTGTTGACTGAATTGAAGAGTTCTCTTCTACAAGAATTATTTTTTCCATCGAGCCACTTAAAGACTTTTTAATCTGCTTTTTGTTAAGCTGAATGGATTTTAACTCAGCTGTTTCCAGTGATGTTTCTCACCAGGGGTTCTCAGTTAACTTTACATATTGTGATAGGCTCATGGAGAAGCACATTGATTCTTTTCCACTGGGATTTCAGATGGATTCATGTGCTTGGAAATTACCCTAAACTCAGGATTTCCTTGGTAATTCAGATTATGCCCTTAAGAGTAAAGAGAAGCCCTCCCACACAAGGTCCGCAGACAGGCTCAGGGCAGAGCCTGCTTAGCCAGGCACAAATAGTGTGGAGATTTCTGGAAGCCAGCCCTACAAACTTCCTTTCAGATCTGCCTTACAGGGTCTGAAGGCTCTCAGTCCTTGTCATTGAGGCTCTCACAGGATCACCTTGGATCAAAATCACAATGAATGCAAAAAACCACCCCTGAAAGAGTCATAAATCATTCAAACCCACCAAAATAATCACACTAAACCACACACACTGACCAACTAATTCAGCCAGAACAACCTTCCTTAAAGCAAACCATGTTTTGGATTTGTCTGGATTTCACGTGGACTTATAACCTGCCCTCATTATTTTATTTAAATTTCTGCAGCTATCAGGAGTCTGATGGAGTGATTTCACCCTGTAGCACCCTGCAGATCTTCTACAGAGCAACACATGCAACTAAAACACTGATCCTTTGCCAGAAGGCAGCACTTCACCAACAACCTGCCCCCAAATGAAAAAAATGGAGTTTTGTTCTGCCAAGCCCTCAGCTTCTCTTTGTTAGCAGCTCTAAAACCCAAGTTAAGTCAGTTGCCAGTGGCCATGGAGAATCAGCCACATCAGAGCTGTGGATGTGACTGCTACTCATGTTATAAACCATGTTATAAACTACTAATGTTATAAACCATCCTCTCATGAGGAAATGCAGCCCTGATCTGGGCCTTCACATATTTTCAGTCATAAAAAAAGATGGGTTAGCTCCAAGCTGGAAAAATCCTGGGAATCTGTTTTGATTTGCTCAACAGGAATCAGGGCAAGGTGGTTGAATGTTTGTCCTTCCCATCCTGCCCCACAGGAACTGAAAATGTGGTAAGGGCCTGCTGTGCCCTGAGCATCCCATACCTGCTCTACACCAGCTCCATTGCTGCCGTGGGACCCAACACCTCCTGTGAGCCCCTGCTCAGGTGAGCCTCAGCAAACCTTCTCCTTTACTCTACTTTATCCAGTCAAACAGCAATGCAACTGCAGCCAGATGGATTTGAGCTACCAAGGAGAAGATTTGTGCTCCCTTTCTCTTTCTTGAAAACCCTTCCTTGCTGCTCTGCCCATTTAGGAGCCATGGCTCTTCTCAGCCTAAGCCTGGCCAGTCATTCCCCAAGGTCAGAGCTGTGTGGCTCAGGCTGTCGCTGGATCTACAGCCCTGCTCCTTTGAGCCCTAAAATCATTTTCAGATAAGGTTTCACGTGCTCAGAGTTTGGGATAGGGCCAAATTACATCCTGCTGTTGGGTCAGAGGTTTTGCTCTCCCTCACAATGAGTCAGCCCAAAGGGCAGGTGGTGCCACATTGCCACCACCACTCTGCCCCTCCTCCTCCCAGCTCCACAGGGAGCTGCTGGCCAGCCTGTGCCCATCTCCTGTTAGCAAATGTGGGCAAATCTCATGTAGCATTGTCCCAGAAAAAAGTAATTGCCCATGAAGTCTTAGGGGACAGAGGCACTGGTGTGAACCTGCAGGATTCAGGTGTAGTCACATCCTTCTGTTACTGCTTCTGGCCTGTAAATTGTACCCTTCTATCCCTCAAAGTCCTTCTTCCTGGAACATGCTCATGGGGGCTATTTCCTGGGCTCCTGGATGTCACCACTTTGGGGCTTTATGCTCAACCCTTCTCCTCTGTTTGTGGCTCCCATGAGATTGAGCCACAGACCCAGAAGCAGCAGCAGAGCTTTAGAAAACCCTCTGTGGCAAAGGTGGGATTTGGATCAATGCAAAGACAGTGGTCAAAATAACAATTTTGAGTGTTTTTTACTTTGATCTCCAGAAGTGACTTTGACAATCAGCTGACACCCCTGCTCAGGATTTGGGAATACTTTTGTATTCCTGGGGCAACAGCACCTGCACCTTGAGAGACAAGCTGATATTTCTGAAGAAATATCTTCAAAAACTTCAGGGGCTGAAGTTTTAGGTTAAATTTGAAGGCAGTCTGATGTGTATTGAAATCCTTGCTGATTTCAAGCCTGGTTGTAGCCACACAAACTGCTCAGCCCCTGGAAATTTGTGTGCCAGCGGAGCTGGCTCCAAGTGGTGTCTCCAAAGGCAGCCAGGCTGGGCACAGCTGCCTTCAGTCATTTGGTTCTAGAAATTTGAGCCCAGCTAGAAAAGACATAACTTAAAATTGCCTACAAGCCAAAATTTCATGCTCACAAATAAGTTAAGGCATAAGCCCCTTGTTTTGAAAAGTGTCTAAGCACTCAAATCTGTAGAATAAATGTCTGGCTTATGAAAAAATCCATGAGAGCAACTCAATCCATTTGGGACCAAAAGCACTGGAGACTGTGTCACTGCAAAGCTATGGAATTTGGACACCAGCAAATACAAATAATTCCTAAGAATTCATGTAGATACAGGCACATGCTTGTCAGTATTTTGGTCCTGTGAGTTAAGAGAGAGATGTGAACAGATGTCTTGAAAAATCAGCCCCAGATCTTGCCTAATCACAATCCTTTGGCTTGTAATGGTGGCACCAGCAGGGGAAAGAAAACCCACCCAGGCTGATGCTCATGGAGCTGTGAACAGCCTTCCCTGCCACAAACACAAACAAAGCCACACCTGGAGACTTTCACTCATTTCGCAGAACACAAAATGAGTGTTCTGTTCAGATTCTCCCATTATCCTGAGAGGAAGCCCTAGAGAGGGGTCTTCATTCTCCAATTACTTTGATTTTGAATGAAGGGAATTAGATAATGAGAAGAATCAGCCTCCCAGTGAAAACTTACCCCACCTGTCTCAGGAGGGAGCCCAGGGATGACTGGGAGCAGCAGAACATGGCTCTGCTTTGCAGACTGAAGGCACAGGTGATGCCTTTCTCCTTCCTCCTCTTCCCATCTCCCCACCCCTCTGTTCTGCCCTCTCCCTCACAGTCCAGGATCCTGCCTTTTCCTTTTCCTTTTCCTTTTCCTTTTCCTTTTCCTTTTCCTTTTCCTTTTCCTTTTCCTTTTCCTTTTCCTCTGTCTCCCTTCTCCATCACTGCACTGTAGAATTTATTTCCCTCCCTTTTACATGCAGGGAATTGGCACAGACAAAGCAGGAGGAGTCTCTGGCCGGGGTGATGGGCTCAGGGATAATGCTCACACCTCAGCATCCAACAATAATAGAAAATGCCTCTGTCAGTCTCAATCCCTGGGAGACAGGCACTGCTGAGATACCTTCTGACAATGCTGCTCCACTCTGATTAGCGTTCACTTATCTGGGATCGTTTTGAAAAGCAAGAGCATTATGCTGAGCTCTTTGTTACTACCAAGCTTCAGAGGGGTGGGGGAAGGCACACACAGCACAGCCCAGGAACAGCAGGCAGGTTTGTCCCTTTGTGAGGCTGCTGCTTTTCAAAAGCTTTGCAAGGCAAAAAAACAGGGGAAACAAACCCCAAACCAAAACCCAAAAAATTGATTAAAAAAAAGAGAGAAAGCAATTAAAACTAGAACTTCTAGATAACCCCCCACTAATTGTCTTGGGCCTCTCCTGGGCTTGCAACAAACCTTGCACAATCAATCTTTTGTCTTGCTTGTTTTTTGGTTTGTCTCTTGTTCATGCCCTGTAAACACAGGGAGGGGAAGAGGGTTTGTGATAGAAGCCCAGGGTGTGTGAGGAATCTGCATTTGTGATGCTCCTAATTTATTTCTGTTGCTGTAGTGCAAGGAGAGCCTGATCTCAGCTGGGATATCTGACACACAACATGCCAGACTGCTGAACAGGCAGGGGCCAGGCAGCAGCACCAGCCACGTTTTACACAGGGAGATCTGAGCACAGAAAAGAGAAAACAACTTGCCAAGGTCAAAGAGGGAGCCTGAGTCAGAGCTGACTCTCCCAAGGCCCAGTGTTTGACAAAAACACCTCTGCTGCAGAATTGCTGGGTGAAGTCCTCACAGGCCACTGAACAGGAGATGTATCCGAGCCCATCTGCCACAGGAGGGTGAGGATTCCTCTTTGCCCTGTGTGGGGTACCCCATGCCTGGCAGGTCCTGGTTTGCCAGGGTAGATTATTATTGAACAGCAAAATATAGAGAAAATTAATTTAAAAATGGGAATGAAGTCTCCAGCAGCACATGGAGGGAGGGAGAGCTCATCTCTGCTACCCCGGGGAGCAATTGGATGTTCCTTCCCCAAGGAATGCTGCAATCCTGCAAGCCAGGTTTCTTCACTCCAGAGCCCTCTGGAGATGTTAAATCAAATCCCATGATGGCCTCAGGCTGATCTAAAACCACTGGGATGAGATGCTGACACCCTCTGGGGAACAGAGCTGCTTTCTGCTTTCTCCTTGGAATTATTCCAGGCCCTGTGAGGCCAGCTCCATGTGAGATCGCACATGAGGTTTTCCCCTTGGCACCTAAGGAGCAGGTTGCCTTCCAGCCACAGCCCAGGGTTCCCTGCCTGTCCTTGGCCGTGGGTTCTTTGCTTCTCCTTCCCCTCGAGGGTAATTTGTGAGGGGAGATGAAGGAGCAATCCCAGCCCAACCCTGCTGATTGCAAGGCTTCCAGGAGATTTCCAGCAGCTCCACCACATCCCCAGCAAATGCCTCCCAACTTTAATCAACTCTATGAGAAATTTAAGTAGCAGTTTCTGCTTTTAGTTTATGGCTCATGAGAGACTTTTCTCTGCCCTTGATGAAAAAATGAAGTAGAATTGCTCTCATTTTCCTGCCCTCCATCTTCTTGTGCTCTTTTTACCTTGCTGTGAGTTGCTTAAAAATGTCACTCTGCTGCCTTCTAATTTGCCTGATGGAATGTTATTTCAATCTTGCTATTAGACAGAACTAAATCCAGCTCTGAGAAAGCACTGCCCCATGCAAACCTGCCTGTGAACACCCTGAAGCACCTGGTGCTCATTGAGGCTTTATTCCTGCCAAAGTGAGTGAGGAACTGAGATTCCCATTGCTGCCTGGCAGCAGAAACCCCTGGGAGCAGGGAATGCAGAGCAAACCAGGCTGGCACAGATGTCCCTGAGCCATGTGCTCTGCCCCATTGTCACTGTCACATTTTCTGAAAAATCCCTCAGCCAGGATTTCTTCTCCTGGGAAGCTGAGAAGCCTCAGAGAAAAATGAAAACAATCATTATCTGATTTGCTTCTCCTGTGTTTTGCTGCTTTGGAATGTGGTTGGAGATTGTTTCTACAAAGCAGAGGTTCAGGTGATTGTTTCATTGGTTTCATGTGAATTGTTTTAACTTAATGATCAATCACAGCCAGCTGTGTTAGGGCTCTGGAGAGAGGAGTTTTTCATTATTATCTTTTAGCCTTCTGTCAGTATCCTTTCTCTATTCTTTAGTATAGTTTTGGTATAGCATTCTATAATATGATATTATTAATATAATATAATATAATATAATATAATATAATATAAGCCTTCTAAAAACATGGAGTCAGATTCATCTTTCCTCCCCATGGCAAAGGACCCTGAAAATTCCACTCCCCATGGTCACTCCCCGTCTCCCACAATCTGTTCCAGGGGAAATGAGGACACTCAGTACACTGGGGAAGTGGAGCTGCCCTATGGGAAGACAAAAGCCATGGCAGAAAAAATTGTGCTTGAAGCCAACGGAGCAAAGGTACAAAATCCAGTGGTAGCACCCCTGGAACTACAGCACAGGGCAGGGAGAAGAGGGAGATGGAAAAACCCCACAGCTCCTGGCTAAGTGTATCCAACCTCTGCCTGGATTTGATGCATAAACCACATTGTCCTAAGCCTCCCAAAGCCTGATATTCCCACATCAGCAGGAAGCTGCCAGACTCTCCCAGGATCACAGGGTGCTTCCCTTTGAGCCTCTGCTTCAGCTCCAGCAGGGGTGTGACTTAGGAAAGGGCTGTGCTAGATTAGGGCCAGAAGAACTGGGTTCACCTAGTTCATACTGAAAAAAGTGTAATTTCCAGGCTTTCCAGAGTGACTTAAGAACCAAAAATATTGGTATACCCAGGGCTAGCCCCCTGTTCAGTGTTTTAGTCTGGCAGCACAGCCAGCAGACATATGAGTTTTTCTAGACAATTAAGGAGAATGTAAAACTGATATTTGTGCTCTAAACCACTGCTTGGAGCATCTCTCCCCCAGTCCCAGTTTGAGGCCAGCCAGTTGGGCTTGCTGGCTTGCTGTGGTACCTGGTTTTGGTTGTTGCAAATCCTCTTTTATGCACCAAACTGCAGAAGAGTTCATGCCACCAGCACTCTCCAGCCAGCACCTCTCAAGGAGCACCTTGTGGATGCAGGTGTGCTGTTAAAAAATAAATAAATAAAATCAAACTGAGCACCTTCTTGTGCTTTTAGGGACCCAAAACAGGTACCAAGCATGCAGAGCAGCTCTGCAAATATTGACTTCTCTAGGCCAGTACTGCCAGGGTTTGGGTTTATTTGTGTCACTGTGGGAGATCCCATCTCTGGATCCATCTGAACTGGATCCATCCCAACTGGATCCATCCCCTGATTTTGCAGCTGAGCAATGGTGGCACACTCAGAACCTGCATCCTCCGTGCCAACACCGTGTATGGGGAAAAGGCAGGGTTCCTGCAGGAGCTGTACTTGCTTGCCAGGGCCAGGAGGGGTGTTCTGAACTACCTGGAGCCCGAGGACACCGAGAGGAATCACACCTACGTGGGTGAGTGAAGGGCTGAGCTCCTTGCATGGGTGCTACCAGCTTTAGTCACAGGGGATTGAGCACGTCAGCTTAGCCATAATCTCCCCAGACTGAGAGATCAGCATGGTGAATGAGCACAAATGGGTTTGGAACCACAAAACTTAGACTGGCTAAAGGATTTTAAAAGTGTCTTATTACTATTTTCCTGGCAAGGGTTTTCTTTATGCCCTTTGAGAAGTGTTTCAGGGATATATGGGCAGCAGAGAGAAATTCTGGCTGTGTTTTTAAAATGTTTTTGCTAGGAAAAGACATTTCTTCATTAGAAAAAAAAACTAAACTACCACTACTTATCAAGTTCTTTACAGAAAAGGCTGCACTACATGACCAGTTTTAGCAAGCACAAGAAATTACTCACAAAACCTATAGGAAGAATTTGTTTTGGTGCCTTTCAGGGGGGTGTAATTCACCATTAGATCATGCAGGCATTCAGTGATTTCTGTGCAGCATATTTCTATGTCTTTTTCCAAAAGTGCAGATTTTGAAAATGCTGTTAGAGAAGGATCAGACCCAGATAAATCAAGTGACTCCTTCAAAGGCTCCCAGCAGAGGCAGGGATAAAACCCTGGAGCACTGCCTCCTATTCATCCTGCTCTCACTACAAACCACTGCCCTTTTGCTTCACGTGAACCAGGATCACAAGGCACATTAATTGTCCAGCTCAAAGGGGACACCAAAGGTTTAAAGGCTCTTGGAGGCCTGGATTAACTACTCAGTGTCTGTGCAGCACAGCTGAGCACACACGAGTGCCTCCCTGCTTCCCAGCACTGAAGCTGGCTCATCCACTGCACTCATCTATGGTGAGCAGGGAAACTGAGCTCCCCCTGAGTGGCTGTTTGTCTCCCTCTGCTATTTCTGCAGGGAATGTGGCTTGGATGCATGTCCTTGCAGCAAGGCACCTGCAGCTGAAGGCAGAGCTGCTGGCAGGACAGGTGTATTACTGCTATGATGACACCCCAGGCAGGAAGGGTTTCCTGGTCAGGCACCAGCTGCTCTCCAGCGCAGACCCCTCAGTGAAGCTGGGCTCTCACATCCCCTACTGGAAGATGTGGTTGATGATACAGCTGCACAGGATCATCAGGGCCATCCTGTCCCCTTTCTGGAGGCCACAGCCTTTCCTCAACGTGCCCCTGCTGAACACCATAGTCACCACCTTCTCCTTTGAGACAGACAAGGCCTCCAGGCATTTTGGGTACAAGCCCCTCTTCACGTGGCAGGAGAGCAGGCTCAGGACTGCACAGTGGCTGAAAGCAGCTGCAGGGAGCTTGGGACCCCCCCAGCTGCAGGAAAAGAAGAACTGAACAGCAATTTTGGGGTAAGGAGGTTGCTTCTCACAGCAGCAGGTTTCATCTGAATTCGCAGAATCACTGGGTTGGAAGAGACCTTCAAGATCATCGAGTCCAACCCAGCCCCAACCTCTCAGCTCAACCCTGGCACCCAGTGCCACATCCAGGCCTTGTTAAACACACCCAGGGATGGGGACTCCACCACCTCCCTGGGCAGGCCATGCCAGAACTTTATCACTCTTTCTGTAAAAAATTTTTTCCTGATATTCAACCTGTATTTCCCTTGGTGCAGGGAAGGGAGCTTCACAACCTGCACAGACCTTTGCAAACACAGAAATCCTGGTACAGAAACAGAGAGGGAGAAAAACTCACAGGCTGCAAGCTGTGATACCCTTGCCATGCCAAAATCTCAGCTATTTTGTGTCCCATGGGCATTTGGAACCTTCTCTGCACACACACAGGGCTTGCTGGCCTCCCCATTGCCATGGTGCCACCACTGCACAGGGACTTGTGGAACAAGAGAGAACAAGCTCAGCTGGGAGACGGTGCCCAGAAAACTCCTTTGTGGTAAAATCAGTGAGTCAGTTCTGTTCCACAGCCTAGGAGCTCCACAGTTCTGTTCCACAGTCTGGTCTTGGGCATTTGGTGGGGTGGCTGTACCTGGCTCAGACACTGAAGGGCTCTTCAGTGATAGTTTGGGGGAGGACAAGCAAAACTCAGCAGGTTCTTGCTCTGATTTAGGGTTTAATAAAAGGAAAAAAAAAAATCCCTTTTCTAAAACTGCCTTTTGCAAGCTGTTTCCTGTTCCTCTTTACATGTGGAATATGGAATATTTATTTTGAAATATCCCTCTAAAGGAAAAATCCCATATCTTTGGTCCTAACAAGGCACAGGCTGATTTACCTTTAATTGTATGGATGGAGAAGTGATGTCTACAAGCTTAAAGGTGGGATCCACGTATTTTGTAACTCCAAATCTCTTACCACAGAGCTCTCCAATGGCAAAACAAAGCAGATTAAAGCCCGTATTCAGCTGCTGTGCTGGCAGAAAGCAAGTGAAGTGAAGGCCTTAGGGGCTGCATTTATGCTAAATAACGTTTGAACTCCAGGAGGAAGAGGTCATTTCAACTCCTTGCATGGCTCTGGAGCTGCACAGCCCATCTGGGAGCAGCATTTCACAGATGATATTTTCCTCACACAGATGGGGCGGGCACTTCCAGGAGATTCACAGCAAAACTGTGGTTTCTATCAGTTTATCAGCTTCTCTATTTTTAAGACTTGCAGAGAGGCTGGTGAATCTACATTATGCACAACTGAGATGTCAGTTTTCACTTGAGCTTGGAGGAATGGGATATTTTTACAATACTGGCTCAAATTGAAAATAAACACTGTTAATGTCACACTTCTGTGTTCTGTGAATCTGTACCCGTCTCTTGAGTGTTCTTGGAGTAAAAGTGTGCATATGCACAAATAGAAGCTTATTTTAATTACAAGTGCCCTGATACTCCTGGAAACAGCAAGTTTCAGCATGGCATCCTTGATGGAAATGATGAAAATTTGCTTCCTGTTAGTCCTGGTAATTACCCAGGAAGGAAAGTGGAGCAATACAGTGAGAGCTGCCAAGTTAAATTCACACTCATAAGAGAATTCTTTTTCAAAATGAGCTTACAAATCAGAAATCAGTTCTTTTGGTAGTTCATTGCTAAGCTCATATAACAATAAGTTTGGCTCAAATTGTTACAATCTGCTGACAGAGAATTTGAAAAGGTGAAGTGTGTAAATTACCAGTTCCCTACTAACTTCCCCCTTCCATTTGTGCTGGGAGGGGTTAAGAAAGGGGATAATAAAATTTCTGATTTTTATATATTCACTAAAAGTCTCTTTGCAGTTTTTTTTTTTTTGCCATTATCCAAATGGTAACTGACAATTTTAACAATGTGACAAACAAATACACCTTCAATTCCTCATGTACATCCCAGAGCATCTCCACAGTGCATCAGTGCTGGCCTCAACAAGTTTTGATGCCTCTGAAATTATGGATTTATCCTGCCAAAAAAGAGCCACTGGGTGGAGCTGCGAGGCTGGGAACAGGTCCCTCCTCGTGGAGCCTCACCAGATTGAGCTGCGTTCTGCAAGGACTGAAACCCCTGCCCAGGCAGCGAGGCTGAGGGCTCTGTCCTCACTCTGTGCCGCTGGGAATTCTGGCCTTCCCTCCCCTGGCTGGAAGCAGTCACAATTTTATCTGCATGTAGCCCTGGAATCAAAGACACTGAGGAAATTGTTTTTTCCACTCAGGGCTCATTAGAAAAGAATAAAAGTCTGCTTTTTGTTTTTAAAAATAGAATGGATTTTGGCCCTCTGACCTCTGAGGAGCCTTGCACAAGCACAACAGGCTGATGCCTTCAGTCCCAGTCCCTCAGTAATTCCTTTGTGGGATTTGGAGCTGCTGAGGATATCAGATGGGAGAGTTGTCAAGCCCCAGCACTATCCCAGAGATTAATGCCTTACAAGCTTGCCTGCTTTCATAAACCTTGCTGGGAACCTCATCATGCTTTTGTTCCTGTCCTGCTCATCATCACCTATGAGTCTGATGCTTATCAGGGTGCAGATGACATGCAGGATAAGCAGAAGGGATTTTCAAAGGTGGTTAAGTGCTGGATTTTTCAGATGTATCTGAATTAGCTGGCTGCTCAGCTTTTTTAATACCTACTCACCTCCCAAGCTTTGACAAAAGCAACCAGAGGATTCCCTTTCCCTGGTCATGGTAGAAATAGGGGGAAAAGTTAGACAGCAAAGCCTCTGTGCTATTTTCCCAAAAGATGAGTAAGCTTCCTTTGGCTGCCCTGCCTTTTGGCTCCTCCAAGCTAATGCTGCTGCAGACTTCCTGTTAGATCCTTGATTTTATCAGATTATAACTTGTTTTCCCCTGGCAATGCTTTAATTCTTTCTACTGCATTGGGTTGTCATTGGCTTTTCTTTTCAGGGTCTCAGCCTTATTATGTAACAGCAGCAGCAAAAAAAGAGAAAAGAAAAAATATTTCAGATCTGTTTCTACTTCTGGAGAGGAGCCTTTGTGCACAATTACTCATCCAAGAGATTCAGCAGGTATAACTGCTTCCCCCAGGGGCTCCATTATATAATTGGATTTCAGCCATACAAATTAAATCCTATCTTACCCCTTAGTTAAGCCAGGCAGTAAGTATTTAATGCTAATATCCCTGACAACTATTGCAGGGAGAAGCAGAGCTGAAGCACAGAGGAGACAGATGCAGGCAATCTCTGCTGCAGGAGCAGGGAGGATGAGCAAGGACTGACACCTGCTTGTATTTTCAGCATGGCCAAACTTCTCCAAGATGGGCCATGGCTCAGCTGGAGCTGTTGTGTGAGCTGGAGCAGGGCTCTCCCTTGGTTTTCCATGCTCAGGAGTGCTCACCCCCCAACACACACACTTCAAAGAACCACATGCCTAACCCTGTTTGAGTTTCTCTGGAAGCCTCTGTTCTTGTGCAACGTCTGAAGGAAGCAAATTTAGCAATATTAAAACTCAAGCCAAACGCAAAACCAGGCAAAGAATCCCCAAATTAAAAAGAAAATCTCGACTGAGTTACTCATTCATCTGCATTTTCTGCCACGTTCGGTCTTCTCCCGGCGTGTTCCTGTGAGACAAAGCCCTCTGGGCAGAGCCCATCTCTTTTGGTGTCTGGTACATCAGTCACAGAGTCAGGGCATGCTAATAAAGCAAAATAGATTCATGGTAGGAGTTAAACCAGTCGGTCTGGTCCTGTAATTGGAACATAATCTCATATTGACAGTGTTTAACTCAGGATGCACAGGGAGCAGATGGCACCAGGCCAGGCCCCATGCGAGGATTGGGAAGATATTTTCCAAGTCCAGCTTGTGATAGATGAGAAATGCAATGGTTGACTCTCACAATCAGAAGGCAAATATCATGTATATATGTTAAGAGAAGTTTTTTAGATTTATAGTTATGTTTTACCCCCCTTGTGTTGTTCTCAGGGGGTGGCCTGGGTTTGGGACATTTGGGAGGGTCACTCGTTACTATGGCAGCACCTTGAGCTCCAATCAAGATTTAATGATCTCCACCACTGGACAGTGAAGAAGGAGATGGACAGAACTTTGGGAGGGGCTAAAGGGTTAAAAGGCCCTTTGTGGAGAGCCCTTGAGGTTTCCACAATGGAAACCTCCATTGTGGGGAGGAGCACATGGTGGGAAAAATCCCGGCACCATAATATTTTCTCTATTCAATATTCTGTCGTATTTTTGATAAGGTTTTAATAAACTTTTCACATTATTGAAAGTATCGTTTCTCACAAGCTCCTGGACCTCATCTGAGATGTCAGAAGCTTTGCTTCCCAGAAGGGCCTTGAACCCCTCACTAATCCTGATTCATAGAATTCACAGAATTCACAGAATTCACAGAATTCACAGAATTCACAAAATTCACAGAATGACTGGGTTGGAAGAGACCTTCAAGATCATCGAGTCCATGCCCCAACACATCAACTAAACCCTGGCACACAGTGCCACATCCAGGCTTTGTTAAACACACCCAGGGATGGGGACTGCACCACCTCCCCGGGCAGCCATTCCAGAACTTTATCACTTTATCACCTTTTCTGTAAAAAACTTTTTCCTAATATTCAACCCGTATTTCCCTTGAGACTGGTTAAAGTCCCACACACTGCTCTGCACAGCCTGGCTGCCAGAACTGCCTTGGGAGCACCGGGACAGAGTGGGAGCAGCACCCAAAGGGCAAAAAGCTCCCAAACCTGCTGGGTCGCAGCCCCAGAGCTCCCCATGCTCCTGGGGACCAGCAGGGACCTGCCTGTGACACGGGGCACAAGCCAAGGGTGCTCTCAGTGCCAGGGACACCCACCAGTGTCACCTTCCTGCTCCTTTTGTCACCTCCAAAGCTCCAGTGGCACAATTAACTCCACAGAACACGCTGGCAACAGTGACTAATTCCTTTATCCGAGCCCAAAATGCTGAGCTAAA